CTTCTCATGCAAAAGCAAAGAATGTGCAAAAGAATTTGCACTTACTTTCTACTGCAAATACTTTCTATTATTATCAGAACTAGATGGAAGAATTAATGAAGGGTTAATTCACATGTCTTAGCTGGAAGTGGAGATATACATACCTGAAACGGCGCATCCAACAACAGGTCAAGAGGATACACTAAGCAAGGCACCTGGAAAAGATAGCTTTGGGAGCAATGACCTGTCTGCCAACAATGATTGGGCTTGAGGATTGCCTAGACTACTCCTAAACTTCAGTCCCTATTCTTGTATAAGTAGAATACCTAAACTACTCAGGGCACTTTAGATATCAGACAAAAATAGGGAATCAAATTGCTCCAAAGTAAAATCAGTCTGCAAGAAAGTAATGCAATGCTATGAAGACCAGATAGGCAGCTTCTAGTAAACTGCATCACTCACCATCCAGATGGGGTCAAGGCAATTTTCATCAGTCTTCTGTGATGATACTCTTGAAGGATGCTAAGTTTGTGGGCTGGTTCATCCACCAGCTTAGTTTACTTAGAAGCATCAGTTAGATCCTGAACCACAGGAACTGGAAAAATGGGAGAGGAGGAAGGTCTGACATATAATCTAGGAGTAAAGTATCTATCTGATATTTTCCAGGCACTTAGTGGTTAATTCAAAGCTCTTGGCAAGCACATCCATGCTGAAGGAGCGATCAAGAAAGGGCAGCAACAGGGAAAAGAAGATAAGTGTTACAAAACAAAGCTGTTCTATAGCCCAAATCCGGCAATAGTGTGGCAGGTGTAAGGATTAAGCTGAAAGGATTGTTTGGATTTTACATCAGTCTTCAGCTATATGTGTCCATCACTGGATGACTGAATGACCACGCTTCCTGGCAGCAATATTCCGGCTCCCTGTGGCCCCTGGCGAAGCTTTGCCTTAAAAAAAGAAAGAAACGAACCATCTAAAGAGATTATACATTCTTTTTATTGAAGGGCAAGTGTGCATGAAGCAACTGCAGTTCCTGGATAGTGCAATTGCAGTGGCTGGGAAAAAATGAAGAAAAAGTATATGCAGCAAGTGCCAGCAAATGCTACTTTGTGCACACCACAAACACCTCCTCATACTTTGGAACAACACTGAGACAGGGATAACTGTATGAAAAAGCGAATGATGCCACTCTCCTCACATTTCTACAGGCTGTATTGTGAAGAGGCCTTTGCTCAGAAAAAGTAGTTGAGCAGAGCCTATTCACCAGTCAGCTGCTCTCCTGTCCCTGCAGAAAAGTGACCTAATTAGTAATTTTTATTACTGGATAGAGATTCAGAAAAATTCTAGCTCAATACTAGTAAGAAACCATTGAAAAATCTGAATCATACCTGCAAGGGCCCTCCAGAATCTTGCTCTGGTTTTGCAGATGCATTGTTGCAACATATTGGGCTCCTCTTTTGGAAGCAGCATCACACACATGCTCTGTGCAAAAAGCTCTGAAGCTGATAGCTATCAAAATTTACTAGTCAAACATGGACCAGCCAGTGTATTTCTAAAGATACAGTAACTTTTCAGCTGCAATCCTAGCTTTAAACATTTTAAAAGTATGTTTTCATTTTGATAAGCCATAATTAGGCTATTTTACTACAGTAACTTAATAACCCTTTAGATCCTCCTCTACAAAAAGTCTCATAACTTAAAAATGATTTTGTACTTCCTTTAATGTCAAATTTCAGCTTCTTACACTGCTTAACCAGTTATTAATCAATTTAGATCTTGTTCCTCAGGTAGCCTGGCAGTGTTGAAATTAGAATTAGGAGTCACAGGATAATTAAGGCTGGCACAGATTTTGGGAGGTTTGCAGCCCAGCATGCTACTTTATATAGCCATCGGATCAGGTTGCTCAGGGCTTTATTCTGCCTGGTCTTGAAAACCCTGAAGGATGAAGATGACACTGTGAGATCCTGGATCCAAATCTCACTGAATTATTGATATGGGTCAGAATCAACTCACTCTGTGTGTGTGTGTGTAAGGACTGGGCCTAGACCTGCAGGTACATGTGGTGATGTTCTCCGACCTGTGTTATGCTGGAGGTCAGATGAGAATAAATGCCATAATCCCCTGTGGCCTTAAATATCTGTGTATTTTTCCCAGTGACTCTTACAACAGAAAAAAACTCTATTTCATTCACTAGAAAATCCAAACAAGACAGAATTAGTTAAGAAAGCTGCTTGCTTTCTTAACTCCTTTTCTGACACTGTCCAAAGTCATATGATGAAAGCTGACGATTACAGTTCAAAAGAACCTGCATGTGTCTTAAGGATCTACTTTTTTCAACTCCAAAATATTTCTTCAGACTGTTTACCAGAAAAGCATAGAGCTGAAAAAAGTAGACAGTGGGAAGAAAAGGTACTTGGAGGCTATAAAATATTTAGGTTGTCTATATGAGCCTGCGAAATATAAGCCTTGAATAGTGTTAAATTGTGAGATTGCTAGGTGCCTGGAAAAGCAATTACTATCTACTGAAGAAAAAGAGTTTACCCTAAAGCCAAATTAACCTCAAGCACACTACAAAAATGCATGTTTGGGACTAATATGGATACCTCCACCAGAGTGGCCTGAGCAGGCATACAGACTCTCCTCTGTTCTGTTCCTGCATTCCCACACACTGAGGGCTGAGACAGGTCTGCATGTGGTTACATGCAGAACTTGTTTCCAGAGTTGTCAGTCTCTTACGTGCCTTAAATCCACTTAAAATGGATAACAGAAATTGAGAATAATGGAAATGTCTGCAATCCTCTACAGACTGTGAGGCCATTTTACAAGGACAGTCTTTAAAGTTTTGCTATACAAAGAAGTAATCCCGGTACTCAGCACCTGTTTTTGTCACCTGCACACAATTCTTGACAGTTCTTCTATTCCCATATGAGGGTCCCTTGTTTCCTGCCATGCAGCTCAGTATTAGTAGGAGAGTGGCTGAGAGAAGAGGCTCTTTACCAGGAAATGACTGGAGGAAGAGAGGAAATAGCACCAGACAATAGGACGTAGAGCGATTGGGAAGAGGCCAGAGGCCGTAGTGTCAGTGTAGGCACTGAGAGGGTTAATACAACATCTATAACATTTATAACTCAACTGCACTTATGGTCTTTTTTTTAAACAACAGTGGAACAATACCATCACAAAATAGAAGATTCCCCCCCCACCTGGCCATCCCTATTCTGAAATTATTTTCGTTGAAACTAGCTCTTCAGTGAAAACTGTGCTTAATCACAGTTCTTGAAAACTCTTTTTAGATTGTTTGCATGAGATATGTCAAATGAAAGAGGAAAAGTTTATTAGGATTAAGCTGAGAAAGGTGTATTCAGTGTTTCTGTGATCAACTCTTATTAATCCAGTCTGGGTTTCTTCACCAAACTCATTTGCCAGTGGAGAAGTCAGCCCAAATACCATCCACTAGACATACATTTTTTTCAGAACAATTATCTGCAGACTAGAAAGATTCAAATTAATCTCTTTAAGTTACAGCCACTCAATGCTTTAAAACTGTTGCACTATTAGTAAGGACATATATAAGCATGTTTTGTTTTCTGGGTATATCATCTTCCAAGATCTACTTCAGCTGCTTAAGGAACGAACGATCATTATTTTCAACATAAACAGAGGTTTGCATTAGTACTCTGCCTCTGAACTCTTTGGTGTATCTAACCAGAGGCTGCTGCAGAACATGTAGGAACAAACAGTACCCAACACAATAACAAAGGTTCTCTCTGATCAGTTGTGAAATACAAATACAATACACATGCCTAGTGACTGCATTGCATTCAACAGCTTTATAAGCAGTACTCAGATAGGCTGGTAGGTAGTATCATCTCCATTTTACAAATAGGTGATTGATCTGCAAATAAATCAGAAAGATTCTCTTGAAGGAAAAGGTTACTTACCCCAGGAGCAGATCCAAGTTTCCCACTGACTGTTTTGAGTGCCTAACTAGGGACTTGCTGACAGAAGAGGTACCCAGAAGAACACATTCAACACAGTATATATGTTTCTGAATTGCAAGATCTAAGGCCTGCCAAGGAATTTTACCAATAGTTTCATATGAAAACCAGTGAATCGAAAAGATAAAGAAAAGTGTGCAGGGGGTCAGTAGAGTATCTGCAAAAAAGGCTCAAGAGGAGGGGAGAGAGGAATACAGGTACAAGTGCCGCTCTATGGAATAATGTCCCAAAGGTATCTAGAAAATCTCTTTGTGGGTCTGTCCAGTCATCTTGGTCTGCAATATGAACATAGCACAGTCCAACACTCCATGAAGGCTCAAGCAGAGTTTTCCCCTTCATTTGAGTCAATTCAAAGTGAGACAAAGATGTTTATGGACATCAAGGTTTCCTGTTTTGACTTCTATCAGAGTCAAGTCCCATTCTAGAGACAAGAAGTCTTTACCCTTCTTCAGTTTCTTCAGGTTTGATTTAATCAACAACAGCAGAAGCTGCTGGGAGGAAAGAACCTGTAGATTGAGAGTATTTACAGTAGATTGAGATTTGAGAGTTCTTAGGCTTACAATAGGTAAGCCATCAGGATAAAAGTTCCTCCAGAAGTATCTTACTACAAATAAAATGGGGGAGCATGTACAGCTGAAAGCTTGTGTGTTACAGATTATTTGTTTGTTCAGTAACCCATCAGCATGCCTGTGTGCTACCTGCTCCCCATATTTGCTGACATACCACACTTCCTGCATATGCAAACCACAAGAAAACAGAGCAATACTGGAATACTCCAAGGTGGAAGCTTGGTATAAAAGCCTGCAGAAATGCCAGTGGAAGCAAAATCACATATTTCTCTGCATCTTCAACCCACATTAAATTTCAAAAATCATTCATCCTGATGGAACATAAACCAACAAATGCTTGAGAAATCAAACGCACTTTTCACTACACTAAATACATGATACTGCTTCTTCTGAAATCCTCCTTCTTGCTGTGTTGTCAAAGTCCAAATTAAAAAATACAGTTACTGTATTCTTCTACCTATCAGTATAGAACTGGTAGGAACTGGGAAACAAACCACAAGTTTGTCCAGACAAATAGCTGTCAAGGCTGAGAATAATGTATTTCAAAGGTCAGGAATGTGACGGACACATCATCTACCAACTAGCCACAGGCTCTATCTGTATATAAACTGCAAAATATTGGGCTGAACTAAGCCAAACATATTATTTTCTTGTTTGGTACCAGTCTGGGCCAAGTAGTAATATACAACATCTCACAACAAGTTCACATCTTACAGCAAGCTCCCAGCTTTTCCACTTCAAAGCAGTAAATTAGGACCCACTAATTAAAACTGCTAAAAATCATGTAAGTACATCGACATCTCTAAGGTATCTGTCTTTTTTTTTTTTTGTAATTTTTTTTTCCATGCAGCCACAGCTTTAGTTTTGCTTTTCATCCACTGTAAATACTGTATCCATTCGAGATCTAAGTGGACAGGCAAAGTGCAAAGCCATGCAAATTTGATTAGCTTACAAGAAGGTATTAATGCAATGCTGACAACCCTCATTGATTAACTCCAGAGGCTCACCAGAGACAAATATTTAAGACTAACAAACTCCACCCTATCTAGCAGCCACAGTTAACATTTCATACATTTCACATTATTTCTGAACCCTCCTCCTCCCCACCTGCTGTTTAATGACTTGAATGTCCCTAAAAATGAAGGTGGGAAGAGAACATGCTTAGCACACAGAATGAAAGGCAGTTTATGCTTTAGGACATCTTCCTCGCACTTACTTACTCTTGTAGGAAATATGTTCTCATTGTTGATTTGCATCTCGATCCAGTCCATGAGAAGATTCATATATTGGGGTGCTGGCAATGCTGTGGGCTTCTTGTACTTCAAGTCATCCTGCCACCGGTACTCGTACTTAGGGCCTCCAGACATCACTGGGCAAGTCTTCTCTGTGCAGAACTCACAGATAGTTCCATAAATGAGGTTGATCCTATTGAAGAAGTCAACCACATGAACAGCCACCCAGTCATTTTGGTCTTCTCCACTGGGCAACTGCACAGCTGCTTTCAAGTCCAGGCCTGAGTTGAGAGACGCCTGCGCTCGTTTGTGAAGTTCAAACCTCTGGGTTCCAGGCTCAAACTTGCGTTTTGGACGGAAAGTTTTATCTTTATTAAAGACTTGCTTGAGTGCTATGGACATGTCTGCTAATCTTCTGCTCTGCAGCAGCTGGCAGAAATGCACGTCTGAGATTTAATGCAGGTATCTGAAAAGAGTTGCTCCCTATCACAGGTCCTCCAGGCCCCGCTCTTTTTCCCAGAGAAGCTCGTATCAATTTTGGAGCAATCTATTAGTTCTTCCTCTTGAAAGCCTCCTCAAAAGGCTTCATGTCCCTAAGGATATAGAAACAATACACATCAGTGGTAAACTCGAGTCTGATCTTGACAGTTTGTTACTGTTTTACCATAATTTTCTAGTAATTATAATCTGAAAATATGTAACAAGCTATTTTTAAAAACTGGCCAACCACTAACTTGATGATGAATTCAAAGCAAAAAAAAGGTGCCTCATTTTTCAAAGTATTATGGAATTAACTTCTCTGTTCTTTTTAAATATCTACCCAAACAAAGGCTCTCAAGTTATAAAGTTGGCATTTCAACAAACCTCGTATAATCTCCTGATTTTAAAACTAACCTTTTCATTTTGCTGCATTTTTACAGAGATCATATAGAATATAAAATGTGTGTATAAGTTTAGTAGACAAAATACTATGTGACAATTTAGAAGGTTTATCTAACTGCTCCTGAAGTGACCAGTGGTGCCTCAAACATTTGCCATAGCTGTACTGCTCTTCTCTGTAGGGAAACAAAGTCCCCAGGCAAAACTTCTTATTTGTTCTCCATTTTAAATTACTGAGCAATTTGCTTTTGCAAATGTCATGGAACCTAGTTAAGAGTGAAAACTACAGTATTGCACAGAAATAACTCCTGTTTCCCACAGAACTGCATGGAGATTGTTACTTTTCTTGACCCACCTTCAGAAATTCAGTAGTGGACTCAGTTTTCTATTGAATTGTATAGAATTATTAGAAAGCAATTGTAAAGCTGCCACTTTTTTTGTATAGCTCTATTCATCTTCTCTACAGGGGAATACTTGGCATTGTTGTTCTTACAAAAAGAAGAGCTTAGACTTTGTGTTGCTCCATCTAACCTACTCTGGCAACAAAGAATGGTTTTAATAGTGAGACAGGCTGCATTAGAGCTCTGTTTACTCTTATACTTGAAAAAGAGTATATCATCACTAAATGTAGGCAATTAGTAGGTGACAGGGTAGATAGGTGCTGTCTCAGTTAGACTTTTGTTTTAGTACTGAAGATTTTATGAATAAAGACAGAGAACAAACATTTTATTCTGTGCATTATTTAAATTTGGACAGAAATACCAAAATCGTATCCTATCAGCAGCTGATGAATTCTTATGAGATTTTGCTTGTGCCATTGTTTCATTTAAGAGAAATCATATCCATGAAAATTTTACTAGGCTGTGTGTGCCTAGCGCTAAATTATTCTGAAAACAGTTGCCCAAAGTTTTGCCGAGGGGCAAAACGGAAGAGAAAAAGATGCTTCTTTTTTCTTAATCACCACGAGAAAGCAACATCTTCCTAAGCAAGAAGAAATTTGGTGTGCTACACCCTGTGCCCTCACAATAGGATGTAAATGCCACAAAAAATCCTCTCCCAAATAGTTGAAAGATTAGCTTTCAGCCAATTTGTCAGCAAGCAGCAGTTACACAAAACCAGCAGAGAAGTGCTTTTTTTAACTTCTGCTGATGGCATGATGAAGGGATACTCCAGTTGTGACTTTATAAACAGTCATTCTCTCTGAGCCAGCAAAATATGAGCAGTTCGGGAATGAACTCCAAGGAGATTACTGTCATATCTGACACACCCGTTCAGTAATGTTCAAAAACAGAGATCCTGCATGATCAAATCCAGAGATCCTGAAATCTGACAAAGGTCATCGAAAGAAGACTTTAAAGAAAACTAGCCTTGGAACAGTTAAGTGTTGGCAGGAAATGAAGATACTTTTAAACAGTCAACAGTCAACTTTGCCCAGCAGTTTATTGTTTGTTGCTAAGACCCATAACCTCCAGCTCTCAAATACTCTGCAGCAGACAGCTGTTTACTTAAAAGCCTTTCAAAGAATAGGCAAGTACTGCTGCATAGACTGAGCTTGTGACTGACACACTTGGAGATGCTGTGGAGCCACTGTCCCAGTTTGCAGTAATAAGGAGGTTAACTCCAGAGTTTCACAGCTCAGGTAACTACTTGTTTTCCCATTTTAATATACCTGGTGTTCTTATGTGGCTACTTTGACCTTTCTCACCTGCAACTATTCACCAGAACACGTGAAGAATTTTTATTTACAACAATAAGCTGAGTACCAAATAAGACTCATCTTCAAAAGAGACATTTTAAAGCACAGTACTCACTGCTGTTGAACTTTTCCCAGGAAAAACAGAACATATAATATTTTATAAACTATTTTCTACTCAATATGCAAACATAATTAATCATATTAAATACATACTGTTTCCCACTACTCTCCATACACTCAGTAAATCTGCACAAGACCAATTAAAACAGAGAAAATACAACCAAAACATCTTATTAAACAAACAACTTATTATCTCAAGTCTTCTGTGTACCAGGAGTTACATGTTGAAATTGTAACACATCCCAGTCAAATTCGTCTCAAACACACATCCAAAAGATTACTCTACTGTGTAGCCAAGTGAAACCGTTCTTTAACTCATCAAGGCAGAATCAGGCCAAAGAATTTCCTATACATTTCCTGTCTGGAGAGTTTTCTTTTCAGCATCTTGCAATAAAAGCTAAGAGGTTTCCTCTGTTTCCTCTTTCATCTTTCTGTAACTTTACACAGTACAAAAATACATTCTATCTTTGCAAAGCTTGCTTGTAGAAGCCAAAGTCACTACTTAGCTTCTCTTAGAGAGATAGCTCTCTCAAAATGTGACTGAAGGCTCTGCAATGCCAGGGGATGGACAGACTTGCTTTCTCATGCATTTTCATACGCAAGAATGAAAAACAGGAAAGTGTATGACCTGAATTTCACAAAAATACTGCACTGAATCAGCCCTCTGAGATATCTTTTTGCATCCTGCTTCTTGATGGAATTTGCTGTCCAATTAATCCTTCTCTTCACTCAAATGCTAACAGAAATGAATGAAGAAATAAACAAGAATTTAGGTTTTTCTGAACAAGTTAAAAATAGCATCACCATTACTTACTTCCCTAGACTAAAGAAGCTTTCACTTTACCCACAGAAGACAAATGAACAGGCCCACCTAATTTTCAGAAAAGATTAAACACAGAGACTTTAGCTTTCTTCTCCTTCAGAGGCTGATGCCAACAGGAAAGCTCTAGCCAAAATCTGTGGGCTCTAAGAGCATCTTTACTGCTTAGGCAACAAAGAGGCAGGAGTTAATGATAGGATGGCCACTCCTCTGCTTAGGACTGAATCACTAATCCATGGCAGGAATTCATTCACCATTAGACTTCTGCCATATTACTGTACTGTTTGAGTCAACAATCAATGATGAGAGGTTTGTTATTCCATCCCAAATCATATACTGTCAATTAAAACTTTGTACTGGAGGACAAAGACGTGAATGAGAAATGGTCCCAGTTTCATTATCTCAGTTGGTGTCTGCAGACGCACTTCAGAGCTGAAACACCGTGAACAATATTGTGGTATTGGTTAGACTGGATCACAACTCCTTGAAATCTGTGGCATAGTAGCACCCACCCTCATTCCACATAAAATTAAATTTGACTATTGCTAACAGATACTCTGCAGATTACTGTCGTATCATAGTAATATCAGCAGGACTGCTCCTGAATACTTGCATCAAAAGTGATAGAAACTGGCTTCTGGTCTTTTACTACAGATCCTAACTATACAATGGGGCATAAGGAATGACATTGTCACTCATGATATTTGGCTTAATGGTATACAGAGACAGTGTTCTGCATGCTCTTCTGAAC